TAACTCGTAACATTAGTTATTTTTGTTTTTAAGAAGGGGAAATTACTACAACTCTCTGTAGCCTTCTTCATTTAAATTTCAGATTCTTATTGCTAATACCTCATAGCCAGACCTTTATTCAGATATTGGAGGCTGTAAGTTATTGACGTCTTTAGAGAACTTGAACAAATATATGATTACAAAGCAGCTGCAAGACCTGTAAATTTACTGCTATTAATTTTACTGTAATTTTCTACTATTTAATATTACCTTGTAAATTAATATCTAGAAACCATATTTTAGTTTCTTTCAAACTCATCACACACAACCACATAAATGATATGTATTATAGTAATAATACATGGCATTTGATGATACTTTTAAAATTGTGAAAAAATTTATTAAGTATCACTCTTAACTTAAGAATTAGCCCTACAGACATGGTAGTTATGTATAAAAAATGAAATGATCTCACTAAAGTCAGTCAAACAGCTTGATGAAGGGCTAACCTCTTTAACTTCAACTTGTAAAGTTGGAATTTCTTGCCTGAAAGTCATCCTTAGATCTGGATTCACCATAAGTCATCCTCTATTAATACTTCCACAACTAAATTTTTGTCTAATCTTAAAAGAGGCAATCAGTTCAAATTGATGTTATAGCATTGCTGGGAGACGTAGCTTGCAATCAGAAACCATGGTAATTCTAAAATGAGAACTATTTGTTTATATTCGTGTCTACATGAGAATGTGTGTATCTTTCATCTTGTTATTCGTATCTATTCACAACATCTGAGAAAGAAAAAATGACATTTGTATCCATTTTAATATTATTACATATTTTATGTCCAGTTATCTTTTTCCAAATATTCCATGATGAGCTTGCCTTCAAAACTGTGTGCAAACCTGCCTGCCCCCCCCACACACACAAAAGGTAAAACCAAAGTGTTTTAGGTTTGTAATATCTATGTAAGGCAAGTCTTTACTCAAGGAAAATTATGATGCCCATATTCACTGTCCAATCTGAAAAGCTGCCAGGAAAGGCATTATATATAGTTAGCACATCCCACTTTTTAAAGGTTCATCACCAAAATAAATAAAAAGTGCTTTCTCAGTTTATCTGTTGAGACAGAAACTGATTGGTAAACTTAAAGTGATGAGTTCTACTTTATATGAATTACTGAAACAGGCATCCAAGCAAATAGAAACCATCAGGCATGCAATCATATGAGACACAGCAGTTACAATGTAAGAAGAGTTTAGGTCCATGTTACATGTTTTTGACTCAAAACATTCAGTAGATAGAGTATACAACAACTTTGTACCAAAACTGATAATTATAAAAAGGCCAGGCATTGTGGCACATTCTTTTGAGCCCAGCTCCTGGGGAACAGATACCCTACATAAAAAAGAAGGACAAAAACAAACAAACAAACAAAAACTCATTACTGCCTTGGCCACAAGGACATGTGTTCATCCAGAGAGTAGTCCAGGTCATTCCTACTGCTGCCTGCCTCTTAAAAGTCTTGGGACACTGGAAGAAGGAGGCTTATAAAAGGAACTTTTGGACCTTAAAAGACTACCTTTGAAGTATTTTTGTGCTTTAACTCCATGCAATCAGTTACTGAAGGCTGGTATACCCTCACTCTAAGTACCATGAAAGAAAATTTTCAAATGTGAGTCTTCTCCATTAATTTTTTTAAAAAAAAGTCAAAAACCTTTCTGACATACAGTCCCTGTTAGTAACTACTGGGTTAGACGCCATTGTATTAGGGAAGTATTTATTCCTCAAATTTCTTTATATGTCTTAAAGTTTGTCACGTGAAGCATCAGACTCATTTGTAGTTAGAGTATTAATTGTGTGCATGCAAATGTAAGCTGTTAAGATAGTTGAAAGAAAATTCTTTTAAGTGATTAAATAGACCTTTCTATAATCTTGTTTACATGATTAATTTATCTAGCAAACTCATCTTCATAGAGAGTACAAGGACAAACTTCAGTCCCAACACCTCCTGAATTATCACAGTGTCCCTGCTACTGGGGGTGCAAATTAATGAGTTTTCCTGAGCAGAGTGTTGAGCCATCAGGACCACAATGTTGATAATGTTAACACAGGGGTTTTTAATCTTGGAGAATAAATGAAGTTCTTCTAGATGGCAGCTGATCTACAAGATATTTGTATTTCATGCTGCTAATAAATGTTCATTAAAACTCGTTTCATTATTAATTATACAGAGTGGAACTCAGAGCTTCAGTAAATTGTATCCCTATTATAATAAATGCATTTAATTACAGAAGTTCGGTAGTAAAGCTTATTTTTGTAAAACAGTTTTATTAGGTGTGTCATATGGTTTAAAATTCAGAGACGCAGACCTTACATGCATCATATTTTTTAACCATGTTGGAGTGGAGTTTGCTCTGCTTCTGATTACTGATCTCCAGTTTACAATGAACATGTTTTGCTACATTATCTACCAGCCCTCTTGCTACATTAACCAGCTTACTTCACACAGACCACCACATACCATTGATTATATGTGACTGTGTCCTGATAAATTATTCCTTCCCAGAAAGAAAGTTGAGTGTTGGCATTTGGATGTTCTTCCATGCAAAAGGTCTGTTTGGACAGGTGAAAAGGATATACAGGTAATAAATGTGAGAATTTCTGTAGGTGTGCCAATACTCTGCTTTTAGGAAATGCTGACAGAGTTGAAGAAAACAGAACACCCATGAGCTTTAATGAATGACTGAAATATACTATGCAGCCAACAGGGGCAACAAAGTTAGCAGTGATGAAGAGCACTCTGAATTATGCTTTCAAGCACAAGACATCACTAATTTAAGCCATGTCTCTACTACTTTTAATCATACATTGTCTTATACACAGTATTTATAAGAAAATCTTATTTTTCTTGTACATGATGTCCTGTTTGTTTTGCCTTGCCATCTTGTTGGAAAAAATTGTACACTACATATGACACCCAGGAAACCGGAGTGTGTGTTTTCCCACCTCAAGCAGAAAAGCAAGCTAATCATACTGTATGGGCTGTAAGCTTTCAGTTGGATACTAGCCATTTTTTCCTTTCTCTAGATATGATGGCTCACATTTATTTGCTCCTCAATGCTGTGTATAGGAGAAAATTCTAGAGATTTGGGGAGGGAAAGGGATAAGGAAAAGATATGACAACTGAATATATATTCCCCACGAACTGAGTTGTTTCTTTTTAAGTTTGTGGAAGCCCTTTCAGAGCCCATTGATAGTGAGGATCCTAAGAAGTAAGAACTCTTATCAAGCTTCTAATTTCCCATTGCACTTGAATGTCTGAGACTTCTAGAAGAGGAGCATCTGGCAGATGGTGATGCCAAGCTCCTTTTACATTGAGAGGTTCCTAGCATATTGAAGCTTATGTGAGGATATGTCCATGAAGAAGTTTCCACATGTTTTGACAGCAAGGCGACAGAGACCCACTCTGAACAAGGGAATCAACAAACTATGGATGGTAGTCAACACAGTATAAAATGAGGGAAAAAGTGTTGGAAGTGTAACAAATATATTCATATTGATATCTGTCTCTGTTTTTACTGCTCCAATGCACACACCAAGAAGTAAGCAGCCTGCCTGTGGAGAATATTTACTGTTATGGGATTCTGCTCACCATGAACTCAGAATAGATGTAGCCAAAACAATGTGGAACTATGAACCCAAATAATCTTTAGCCGACATATTGCCTATGGGAAGGATTGTTCCACAGTGACCAGAAGACTAACTCCTTGAACCTGAAACTATAGGCAAAATATTGCAAGTTTACCTGAAACACTTTTGGTTGTTTGGGATTTTTTCTTTCTTTTTCATTTGTCTGTTTTCTGTTTTGGCTCTGGAGAGGAGACACTGTTCTATTTAAGCCTTGACCGTGAGTAGCTTGCTTCAAACACAGTGGAAATAATTAGCAGGGATAAGTACACAACAAGAGGATTAGGCATCCATACGACCCAGAATAGCATCTGTAGAGACATGATAAAAGTGATACAGACAATTAAATCACATACATTGGGCATAAAGTGATCACCAGCTGGGGTCAGAATGAAATCTTCCCTCTTGGAATAAAATTGTGCCATTAAGTAAATTTAAAGATTTTATGTCTTTTTTAGGACATCTATTATCATGTAGCTTCAAAAACAAACTTCTAGTGCTTTATTGCCTCCTTCCCATTTTTCTGAATGACCTTAAACACTTCTTTTTGACAGTGAAGTACATATTGCCCCTGTAGCCACAGTCATCCATAGTGCAGGTCCTTTGTGCATCCTGCCTCTGCTGTTTTACCAGAGTGTATTGCTATGGGCTTTCCTGTTCTGTGTTTGCCTTTTCCTTTTTACTGCCATGACCCTAGTGAGTAAAAGAACTGGCAATGTAGTTTATTGGTGTGAGAGCTAAGTGTTAATATCAGTGTCAGAAGAGAACTTGAAATTGCCTTCGCATCTCCCCTCATGCCTATGCTCTGAATAATAAAACAAAATAGCATCAACTATTCAATGGTTGTCTGTGAGGTGAAAGGCATTCTTCAAAGTGGTAACACTAAAGAAGACAAATATTTAAGACACAATTGATAATGAATGGTGAAATCTACAAAATATGACAGAAATAAAGGAGGAAAGGATAACTTAGTAAAAATAAATTCTTAGAATGGATAGAAAATAAGCAAAGATTTATAAGAGTTCTAGAACACAATAGTCAATTAGAACTACATGATCACAACATAAATGTTTCCCCAGTAAGGGCAGACTATGTGCAGCTGAAGACCACATCAAACAATGTCTTGTACAAACCACATGTTGGGCCATGAAGTAAACCCAATGAAAATTAAAAAGGTAAAAATCATACAAAATACACTCTGCTACCATGGAAGAGTACCACAAAAATTCATTAAAGAAAAGGAATTTGAAAACATTTGACACTGGTAAGTTTTTATCACTGTAATACATACCAGAATTCAGACAAATATTTTTAATAAAAAGTTCTTTATTTAATTCTGATTCTGGGATCAACTCATCACAGTAATATGAGATTGGTAAAACTCATGTAATGTCTTCCTAGTGACAGTTCTTCAGTGAGTTCTAGGACACCTTGATCTATAGGGTGAGTTCTAGGATAGTCACAGCTCTGCAGGATAAAAAGATAAAAATAAAAAACTCTAGCTACTGTAAACATGGTGAAAATAATCTAGGATTACATACTAGAATCATAAATGAAACAAAGGTTATCAGAATATAAAAATTAAAAAGGATCACAAAATTTTTAAGTACAAAAAGTACATATCAAACAATTAGTTAAGAGGTGAATTTGACAAATTCATAAAATATATAATATGCTAAAACTGACTTAAATACAAGAAGTTAAATAAGGAAAACAATGGCATACAGTGATGCCAATCAAATTCATAAAGACAAGCTCAATTCTAGAAGAATATGTGAATCTTACACAATATAAGAACTTTTATAGTCTTCCAACTGCTAAAATATGGAACACACTCATTTATCCAATGAGGTTTTGTTACTCTATATACCGATGCAACTGAGGACATCACACACAAAAGGAAACTACAAGGCCTTCTCTGAAGAAACAGACACAATAACCCTTGGCACAAAACTAACATAACAATACATATTGGCATCATACATTCCAAGTGAGATTTTTCCCTAATAAAAGATTCCCTGTCAATAAAATATTTAAGAATGAGAATAAAATCTGATTACCTCAAAAGACTCACAAAAATGGGAATAGATGAGAATTTCTTCAAATGGTAATGGATTTCTCCAAAACCTATTGTAACATACATAATGGCTAATGGCTTATAGTATTCGCCTAGAAACTGGATACTTGAGAAGTAGCCTTCTTATTTCTATTCAAGGTCACTTTGGTGTGTCTAGCCTCAGCAATCACATAAGAAGCATAAACAGTATACTTTATTTTTAAAAGTGAAAATCCCTTTGTGGAAGTTATAATTTATATAATAATTCTAAGGAACTTAAACAATACTATAAAATGATGTTAAGCAGGTTGGTTGGATAGTATCAGATCAATAGAGAATCATTTATGTGTTACTTTTCTATACATCATTAACAAAATGCAAAACTAAGATTAAGAAATCTGTCGCATTCTACTTTTTGAGAAGCAATATGGAAATCTACTACTGTATATGCTTCCAAAAATACATACACAAATGAAAGGGATTTAAGTGGAATTACCATTTAAATGAAGAGAAGACTAACTCCTCCAAACTAAATTTCTTATGTCACCAAGTAAAAAATAAATAATAAATACATAAATATTGTGCCTGGAATGTATTCCAGCTTGTTGAGTTTTTGACCAAAGTGTTCCCAGTGAACCTCAACCATAACAGGCTATTGTTAAGGCTGTTAGCCACAGCGTAACAGGAAGACTGTATTGTTGAGGACACCTTGAATATCATTACATCAAGCTGATATCCAGTCAGAAGTTTCACCCATCTGAATAGCAATCATGGTGCTGGAAGGTACCAGAGGAGAAATGTAGTCATCAATATCAGCCACCTACAGAAACCTGTGGACTTCCTACTATATATACTGGTAAAATAGTGGCCCAAATGTTGTAGGAGTAACCAACCATTTTAAATTTGATTTAAAGCCCACTAGATAAGATGGGACCCACAAATGGTACTGTGTAAAGTTGCCAATAACCTAAGACTAGTTAGGTCATGGGATCTATGATTATTCTGCTAAAGCAACACAGCAATAAAATGACTCATAATGCTGTCTTTGCTTTATGTATAGATTAATACATCACTCAACCCTCATTATAAAAGATTTTCTTGCAGCAGATAATAATGCAGAGACCCACAGCTAGATGATGTGCAGATGGTAAGAGACTTTGGAAAAGTCAATACTAAATGAATGTTTTTATCTAACCCCTGTCCTCAAGGTTCAGGGTTCTATGGGAAAGAGCAGGAGAGACTGTAAGAGTTGGGTATCATGGATGAATCCAAGGGAAAAAACATCAAGGATGGATACATATGAAAGCACACTACCTACTCAGGTTAAAAGCACAGAGTCTCAGCACTGATAAGGGGAGGAATACACAACTGCTACCCCAAACCAAGAAGCTATTTACAATTGATGCCTACTGGGAGAGGCAATGTCAGGTTTTTTTCCTAATAAAGTGTCACTGGATATATGAACCACATTCCAAGGCAGTCTCATGAAATGAATTGATAGCCAAAACAACTGATTCCATGTTTCTTGGTTTTTGTTCTGGTATTTTTTTTTCTTGTAAGTATTTTTTTCTGTTTTGTTTTTCTTTACATTTTGTTGAGAGACAGCAGGAGAGCATGAGTAAGAACGCACACTAAGATAGATGGATAGTGATATGGGGAATATCATGGAGTTGGGGGAAGGGATAACTATTATCTGGTAATGTTCTTATGAAAAAGTAAAACTTTCATTAGAAATAACATAAAGTAATTACAAAATACTTAGAAATAAAATAGTCATAGGATAATAAGGCATAGATACTGCATATTCAAACAATATTATGAAATAAATGCCAGAAAATACCTCATAATTTCTTATCAGAATAGCTGATATTGTTGTAGTTCCTTCTCCCATCAATTGTTTTGAAAATTCAAGGCCGTTCTTATCAGGGTCTCTGAGTTTATTAATAAAAATTGAAAAATTCAAGAGTTCACATTAGAGCACAAGATTTAAAATGAACCAAAATATTGAATTACAACAAAATTGTTAATCTCATTATTGTCACCATCAGAAATTCCAGCAAAGCAACAATAAGTTAAAACTTTAAATCTATATAAATATATGGATAGATCAATAGAATATTGAACCAAGGAATAAACGCACAGTCTATGGCCAATTGATATTTCCAAGCACCAAGATCATTTAATGTAGAGAAAGTATTTTTTCAATAAATGATTGAGTAGATATGAGAGAATGAAGCATCGTTGCCTCACACTGAACAGAGATTGCCACACATGGTAATCTACAGTAGGCAGTCTACTGAGACAGAAAGCAGAGAAGGGTTTCTTATGAATGGTAAGTTGAGGGTGGGATGACAGCAAGGCCAATGAGATGGATAAGGTACTGCATCCCTCAATCTCAATACTCAGGAGGTGAGATGGGTGAATCTTGAGTTTCATGTAATCCTGGGAAACATAAGGTGCAGTATCAAAAGATAAAGAAAGAGAAAATGGAGAAAAGCTAAAAGAGATTACGTGTCTATATGGGATCATAACAGTGCCCTTAGTTTTAATACGGCTGTGGGTAGCTGTCAAGTACATTTAATTATACCTGTTAGATGAACTTTAAAGAATATGAACATACAAAATTACACCTCAATAAAGCCGCTTCCCTCTCAAGTCAGCATGGAAGCAGATAGAGAACAAATACCAGATAACTTAAGCAGAATGCAGTGACAGAAACAGAGGTCAATAGAGGTTTATTCTGACATTCCACATGGAGCGCGCCTCTGTTGTCAACACACATTAGTATTATGTACTACCCAGTCTCAGAAGACCTCCCCTCATTTCTCTTGATGAGTGCGGATGCTGATACCTCTGAGAGACACACAAGAATAATAGAAAAAAATCTGAGTCCTTTTCTGGGAATTACAGTTTTATCCAAAGGTTCATTGAAACAGAAATATAACTCTGTTCAACAACCACACTCCCCTCATCTTTTACATCTCTGTTTTAGTCTCTTCTAACTTTGCTATCTCTTTTAGCCTCTCCGTCTTCCACCTTTCCCAATGCCTGCTCCCTTTGCATTTTCATTTAGCTGATTCTCCTATTAATTTGGTTTTGTGTACTCAAGTTCACCATCATAAAAGAAGTGAACATCCAACCAGGACTCACAGTAATGCAGCATTTCTTGTATGTTGTGAGAGTTAGTGTTAAATATAAACTGGAGGTAATCTAGAATGAGCAGCTAGATTGCAATCTTCTGAAAACAACTGTGAGGGATTATCTTGATCCGTTTGGCCTGTGTTGAAGATTCATCAAAAATGTGGATAATTTCCCTACTGGAATCTTGTACTATAGAAATGCATGAAGTATGATCAAATGTCCAAGCTCCCATTGCCTTAACTTTCTCTCTGTGAAGAAATGAAGCATGAGCTGAAATCACACACAGAGACACAGACACAGACACAGACACAGGACACATACACACATACACACACACACACACACACATACACACACACACACACACAAACACACACCACCTTTTCAGACACAATAATTCTCATGCCATTAGTGTTTTGCAAACTCAGATTGCTGATGTTTTATGTTGGAAGACTTTTCAGAGGAGCTGTGTTAAGCAGCACCCCTGTTGTCTGTATTACTAGATACTAGGACCATGTCCACCTCTTAGCCTCGACTATCAACAAAGTATCATCTGGGCTCAATGTCATTACTTATTGATAACTATGGTCAATCAGTCTACTTGAAAGCATTTCTTTTTATCAGTCTGCAATGCTTTTTGTTATTTGCTATTCATATATATATATATATATATATGTTCATATATTTGCTTTTCATCCTCAGCATTTAGCTTCCACATGTTAAATAGCTTCCTGTTTGAATTTAGAGCCAGCTATACGTCAACATGAAAATTGTCAACACATGTGAGCAGAGGGTACTTAGATTGTGTGGTGTAACTACATCAATGACTCACCTAAAGACTGTCAGAAGCAACAGTTATTTTAGGACTTCATTCTTTGACTATCTATGGCACCCATCTTTCCCTATTTTATTACAATAGATAGATCAATAAATGTTTACTAATTACCAACTGTATGCAACACATGCAGCTTGCAGACAAAGCAAATATTAACAGAGTGAGGGACAAAGCCAGGGGAAATAAGACATTAAGAGGGTGGATAATACAGTCCAGTCTTGCCTATCATGTGATCTACTTCCATCATGCTCTATGAAAATCACATCTTCAAAACTATTCCTGAAGGTCCAGTCTCTCCATGACATCTATCAAAGTGTCACCTGAGTAAGCTATAATCACTGAAGTATGATATCTCATATTCCACACCATATTAATTACTAAGAATGCCTTTTTCTGGAATGAATGTTTTCTCTGCAAAATGTTCACATTTCAGTCATTGAGAGTTTCATAAAAATAAGTTTAATCCTTCATATGGTGAGACCTTGCTGATTCATTTATTGTGGTTTTGAAGACCTCCAGCTTTTTCGAGGTTGAAATTTCTTGTGCCCCTGTAGTTTGTTTAAGACCCACAGTCGGTGGCTTGTGCAGAGGTTTTACTTCAGTGATCCCCCTAGTACTGTAAACACTGAGAACTCAAACTGTAACCCAAGGGGCACTCACAGTCTACATTTGGGTCTCCCAGACCTGTTTAAAATGGGAGTGCCTCAGGGTTCTTCTGCAGAAGGTAGCACCCCACTCTTGAGTTCTTTACCAGTTTCCTCTCTTGTGGACTGAATGAAATCCAGAGTTCCCACAGAGGCAAACCACTTGTTGTCTAGAAGACGAGCAGCTTTTCAGCAAAGGCGAACTATCTCCAAAATGAGGATCAATGCCAGCCTCTTTCTCCAGCTGGCACATGTACAGGGTCATGCAGTCCCTGACAGTGACTGTCAAGTCAAGCATGCAAAATATGTCCTGTGGAGTTAGAGTAAGGAAGGATCAAATGAGTCATATTTCAAACGTTTTTCCCCCCTTTGGAATTAAAATGCACAGTTTCAACTGTATTTCAATTATCAGCTTGACATTACTCTTTAAGCAAATGACTAGAGTTAACAAGAGAGCTACTCCATTTTGAATACATTGATTTTCTGCTTGGTGTAAACTCTAAATAGCCGATTAGGATGCTGTGAATCAGACAGACTCAGTGTACCTAATACGTCCTGCAGTGCATTGCAGAATGGAAACATGGGGTTTTGAAGGTGAAATGAATTAAAATTACATGATTCCTCTGACTTCAATACATACCCAGTTAGGACATACCCCCTCTTATCTGGTAATGTAAGAATGGTCTACATTTGGTTATGCACATCAAGCTAATGCATAAAACTGTTGAGCTTAAAGGTATAAGGATGCATAGAGTTATTTTAAAAATGACTGTGAAATGAGATGAATGCTTAATTGGCAGGTTCCAGTTATGGAATATACCGATGTTGTCCTCCATTATGTTCATAAACAGCAGGGTATCTCTCTGGCAGTGCCTCCCACTGAGATCATAGCATCATATTCTGGTTGTACACATTATGCCTGGGACCCTATGTTATTTACCTCATGAGTTTCTCATTGATTTAAATAGTACTTTTTGAATTAAGAATTAGCTGTCTTTTTCTTAGCCCTGTCACTGACGTTGTGACCTTAGGGAAAAAATGGCTTTATGCCATAGTGTCTGAGTGCCTGCTATTTTAAAGTTATATTAATGAGATAATATCAGGTAGTACATCATTGGGAGTGATGAAGTGTGACTATTTCAACATAGACATGTAGCTAAGATAATATCAGAAACAGAATCCTTGACATGTTGGTCAGACTTCATCGTTATAGAAACCTTAAAAGCATATTCCACCACATCTTTGTTGTGAAATTTAAACATGATAACAAAAGAGAGAATTGGAAGGAGACTTACCTTCTTGATGTGATTGTTTAGCATATAGATTGCATTTATTGATGCAAAGTACCTGTTAGTAATATTTTTGCGTGAACCATTTTCCTCACACAAATTCAGGGTTTGAATGGTGTTTGGGCTCATGAAGCTCAATCTTGAGCATTGTGAATACAAGAGCAATGAGCAGAAGTATTCAAAGATAGAAGGCAATCAGAAAGATACATTTGTGCCTTCAGCTTCATTGGAGGGACATACAGGGTAAGTTAGGTTAGACCCACATTTTCTTTTACCTTTCCTTCTCATTTCACTGTTTCTGGCACAATTTCTATAGTGGCTGCCCCATGTCAAATGTAATGGCTTTGTAGTTCTTACTTCCCTAAAGCTCCAGTGGATACTTTCTTCCCATTCAGGTTTCCACACATGCTCTCTAGCTCTAGTTGCATTGTTCTCTTTCCAGATAAAACACTTCAGGGCTCCAATGTTAGGTTTCCAAAATTCTATTTAGATTTGAATGGATGAAGACTAGATATACTGCTCTGCTTGTGGGTCATTTGCATTTTAAATATGTGAAAAATTTTAAAACCACACTTTAGAAAGTAAGTGAGGCGCCGTGTTGAAACAGTTAACCAATACGTCTTGTCTACAATCTTCCTCCTCAAGCAGTAGTCAAGAATTGATCCTCATACTCAAAGACAGCTACAATACTGCCTTATTAGAAAAAGTAGATAGCAAGTCAACCCAGTCCACTCCCAGATTCCACTTCAGGAATTAGCTCTATTCTGCTTGGTTCTCTTATGTTTGAACTACCTTTTGTTTCAAATGTGGATACAGAAAGTTTAGATAATACAGCAATGAAAGTGACCAAATGAATGGAAATATTTTCTTTGGAGACATCCTATAATCAGGTTTCTCTAGCTGTAAAAATCAAAGGTGAATAGGCTCAAAGTGTACATGTCTATAAAGCTGAAAAGAATTGAGAGAGCATTGAGATGGAGTTATTCATCAAATTCCAGAACAAAGGGCCCCCTTTGAAGTTTAAAAAGGAGGATTTAGGGTAAATGGAAAGAACTATTTTTTAACACAGTAGGGAATAAACTTATGGAACTCATTATCCCCACTATTTCTATTCATTAAAAATATAAATAGACTCAGACAAAGATTCCTATCTGAATGAAGATCAGCATTACCTACTGCAGAAGACTCGAGTTTAGTTTAATGATGACAGTCTTTACTTTATTGTAATGTGTGCTTGGTTGAGGCTTTCCAAGAGCCTTTCCTGTAAGAAATGTTTAGCCTACAAATACAGACTGAGGAATGTTTCATTGAGACAAAAGAATGCTTATACCTTGGGGTCTTGGGATTGCTGCACTAATTCAATGAATGTAAGAATGATAATATCACAGTAGTAAATGATGATGGCAGTGATGTTGAAAACAGCAAAGGACACAGATATTCAGGAAACAGGGGACAGCGGAGTTTAGGGAAAGGAGAAAGCAGAGAAGGACTAGGAAGAGGAAGAAAAAGAAGAGGGAAGGGAGACAAAGAGAAACCAATCTATGGATGACTGTGATAAATTCTGTGGGGTGGAGTATCCGTTCTATGATGATAAATGTATTTCTTTTGTTTGTTTTTGCTTTCTTTTTATTTTATTTTAGAAACATTCTTATTTACATATCAATCCCCCCATTCCCACAACCTCCCATGACTCCCACCGACTGCACCTCCCACGCCCACCCACTCCTCAAGGATAGTGAGGTCTTCCACAGAAGACCATCAGAGTCTGTTACATCATTTAGAGGAGGGCCTAGGCTGTATTTCATGTATTTGGGCTGCAGTAGTATCCCTCCATAGAGAATGGGCTCCCAAAGTCCATTTATGCGCTAGGGATAAACATGGGCTCCACTGTTAGAGGTCCCATAGATTTCCCAGGCCTCCTAGCTTGTATCCACATTCAGAGGGCTTGGTTTGGTCCAATTCTGGTTCTCCAGTTTTACAAATAGTGTGTCTGTGCATTTACTAGGTCAGGTCAACTCTTTCTGCAGATTTCTCCAGCATGGTCTTGACTCTTTGCTCATCCCTTCTTTGTCTCCAAAACTGGATTCCAGGAGTTAAGCTGGGGGCACCAACTTTTGCTTTGATCAGCTACAGGATGAAGGCTCTAGGAATGGCAACCAAGGTAGTCATCAGTCTCATTATAGGGGAAGGGCCTCAAAAGGCATCCTCTCCACCACTGCCTAGATTCTTAGTTGGGGTCATCCCTGTGGATCCCCGAACATTTCCATAATGCCAGATCTCTCCAAAACTATACTGGCTCCCTCTATTTAAGGCTTCTCCTTTCTTGCACTCCTCTATTCCTTACCTGTCTAAGTCCTCCTGATCTCTCCTGTTCTCTTCCTCCCTCTCCTTTTCCCCCTCTCCCCTTCCCACCTCCCTCTCTTCTCTCTCCCCCTTTGATCCCAATTTGATCAGGGGTTCTTGTTCCCATCTCTTTATTCGGCAGAACAGGCATTCTTCTCTCTTTGGGTCCTCCTTGTTTCCTAGTTTCTCTTGTGGTGTGGATGATAGTCTGATAAAAGTATTACTACCACTACATCAGCAGGCCTAAGTCGGAGTTTTACTATTGTGAATAAAAACACACCTTCCCTGTAGAAATGTAAAGTCATAAACACTCTGTGTATTTCTGAGTTAAGTTACTAAGCCTTAGGAACACACAAACACACACACACACACACACACACACACACACCACACCACACATCAGACATCATCATACATCACACATACACAGAGAGATGTATGCAGATAGACATGCAACAGACATTCTGTCTACTGTATCCTGATATTCATGAAATTTCTAATATTTAGATCTGGCATTGGGTAGTCATATGTCAACTTGACATAAGCTAGAGTAATCTGAAAGAAGAGAAACTCAATTGGGAAAATGACTCCTTAAAATCCAGCTGTAATGTATTTTCTTAACTAGTGATTGATGGTGGAAGGCCCAGACCGTGTGGGTGGTGCCATCCCTGGGCTTGTGGTCCTAGACTCTATAAGAGACGAGGCTGAAGAAGCCATGAAGAGCAAGCCAGGAAGCAGCATCCTTCCAGGGTTTCTGCCTCCAAGCTCCAACCCTGTTTGACCTCCTGTCCTGACTTCCTTTAACGATGAACATGGATGTGGAAGCAAGCCCCTTTCCTCCCCTGGTCCTGGTATTATTTCTGGTCCTGGTACTTCATCACAGCAATACTAACCCTAACTAAGGTAATTCTGTAACTTAATTTGGCCAGAAACTCCATAAAGCAAATGAGCAAATTTTGCTTGTAAATTGAAGCCAATTTTTGGCAGATACGAAAATCTTAAAATGTTTTACTTTTATGACTGCTTCTTAACACTCTACTCACTAAAGAGACTCTGGGAGAGGGCACCCTCATCCATAAACACACACACACACACACACACACACACACACACACACACACACACCTGCATCCTCAAGTACTCATGCCTTCTCTTCCTATGTGAGAGCACATCTCAAACTCATGTGTTGTCTCCCCCACTGCAGGTGAGTCTCTCCACAGTCTCCAGCTCTTATCTGTCTCACACAGGAGGAACCAACCTTGTCTGGGAAGCTTTAGAGAGAATATTTGTTTCATTTCAAAGCTGCCTGCCTATTTTTCTTCTCTCTCTCTCTCTCATTTTTCTCCTTCCAAGATAAATAGAAGTAGAAAGGACAAGCAGTTTTGATTAGCATTTAAAATGTTGTCAATTTTTAATGAAAGTATAACCTCCAACCATCAAATTCACAGAAACTGGAGACAAGGTTGCAGAGCGAATGCTAATATATTTGGCATAGTTTCTCACGCTTGTCCTTCGGTGAACTTTTCTTGTTGCTAATTTGTTATGTCAGACCATATTAGTATGTTTCAAAAGTCCACACTGGCAAGTGTGGTGACCCAAAGAGAACCAGTCTTTGGAAGATCTTTAAATCGAACCATGGGAGTTGGGCAGTTTATTAGGTATGTACCTTTAGTTCTAT